ACCGCTCCACTATATTATACTACTACATATATATGCAAAAGCGTTTTCAACAAGCAAACATTTTTTCGGCCCCTAACTCGAACCTAATCTTCCGAGTTAACTCGCCGTGAATTTTACCTGTAGGCCATGGAAACTGTGAGTTTCGAACTCGGGTTGATGCTCAAAAATATAATTGTCTCAAAACTGTTGTTTTCCAAAAACATATGCATGATATTTTTTAAAGAGCTGCTTTTTTTATAACGGACTTTACGTCGAATATGTCTATCTTCAGTTTTGTAGTTTTGAAGTGTTAACTGTAGCAATTTTCGAAATTCGGAGAGTTCGCTGAAAAGGGGACTAGCACCATCATTTTTACCGTCCGCTGTTACATACGAGGAGGAAATTTAAAGAAAAAAATTGGAGCGGATTTTGAGAAAAACATTTCTTTAAATTAAAAATTTCCTATATTTCTCGCAAAATTAAACGAAAATTACTCATATTTCGAATAATTGAACTTATTTCAAGATCTGTCTTTAAGGAACAGATTTTAGTAAGGAAAAAATCTCTATATATTTAGTATTGCAGTTGTAGGAAGGCGTTTCTAATAAATTTCCCTTTTGTAATTTTCGAAATATCAGTTATTTCAGTGAACATGAGATTTGTACCAATCTCTTAAGCGTTCTTTACGCCATCCGAGTACAAAGTTTAATCAAAACATTTGGATCCATCTTCGAGAAATTTTGAAAATGTTTTGAGTCTTCATGTAAAGTACACCTAAAAATCAAAATATCCTTTTGAAACTCTTAAAGCCTGGAGTTTGTTCCGAGAAATCGGGGATAATCAATTTTGGAGAAAATCGTCGGAACGATTTATGCGCTAGCGTTGTCCACAGACGGACTCACAGCAAATGAACGGACAGACGTTTTGCCGTCAATAGATTTTCCGGTAACCATGGCCAACAAAACATGGGTTCTGGCTTCGAAAAGTGATAAGTCGTAAAAGAAGTGTTGGAAGGAGTAATTTACTTAAGACAGCTCCATACATTCGGCATTCTCCGAGCAGCGAACTGCTCGCCCACTTCCGAACAACTGATGTGTTCGGCGAATGTGCGCTTCCTTTGATGTGTGCTAAAGACCGACACGCGGCGGTTAGGGCGAATACCGAATGTTCGGCGAACCGCAAGCAACCCGTCCACTCTACTCGGGATTCGGCAAGCGGTTAGTCGGGATTACCCGACTCCGATTCCCGTGGCGTGATCCCAGGTTCAATTTCCGGTCGAGGCAAAAAAAAGTTTCAGGTTTTCCTTTAAAAGCGTTTCAATTTCTATGTGACAAAGAAAATATCACGTAGATGGAGTTTGCTATAGTTTCGGTGAAGGGAGTGGGTCATGTCCGTCACGTACCACTCTTACCCCTAGCGAGGGAAATCCCGGTAGGTCGGCGCCGGATCTCACTATCCAGCGGGTGAAAATCACAGCCACCTCTCGGGAGCGAAACATGCACTACACTTACGGGACTAATGCCCTTTAGAAGTTGACGCACCAGGAATCACTATTCAATCAATCAAAACCAGGTGCTGACCACCACCCACGCGAGGCGCTGAGCTTCGACCGTGAGGGTTTGCATCGCGTGGCCCCCGCATCTCCGGAGGTTAGCGGGGAGCTACAATACCTTCTCGTACTGAGTTTCGACGAGAGCGGGCCTTGATAGCTTCACACTCTGCGGCTACTCCAATCTGCCATTTTGCCGTGTTGGCCGCCAATTCTTCGCAAGCGTACGTCCACAAGGAGATTACCCGCATCCAAAAATAACACCGCATGGACTATCTGACGGCAAACAAGGATACATCAAATTTGTGTGCAAACGCTTAATCACAATCAAGAAAAACTATTCTCTTCCAAAAAATTGTGGTCACATTCTTTATTCAATACTGTACACTTCTCTGCCGCAATCAGAACTGCTGTATTCGACGGCGTCATTCACGCTAATTGCATCTACGGTGCGCCTGTGACAGACCTTCGCTCGCGGCGACTCTTTTTTCGCATTTCCAGGAGCGTGCACGTCCGGCCGGGCTCCATTTTCTCGATCTTGTAGATTCCACAGACTAATCGCTACAGCGACGTCTGAAGGACCGGTAATCCAGACGGTTGAGTAAAGAATATACAAGCAATGCATTTCGTGGCTGCGTACCCAGCAACAAAAAAGCTTCTAATTTCCGAACCCTTTAAGGTTTTCGATAACAGTAAGGCCTAATGGAGGGCAGACCAGCGGAATAGCCTCTTGCGAAATGTATTTAGGCGAGTGGGCGTTGAATATATAGATAGCTTATTTATTGGTCTAAATGCAGCTGCTCTCTTTGTATTTGTCACTTTTGGAATTGGTATTGCTGTGGAAGTTTTCCATGACTCCGGAAAAATTCCCTTTTTAGGGAATTATTTATTATTTTCAATAATACAGCTTCTAATATTTCATAATTTTCTTTTAACTCTTTTGTCGTAATACCCTCGTCTGTTCCTTTTTTGTTTGGCAATCCATAGATAATTCGAATCAATTCATCGCTTTTGATCAATTCAAATTTGTTAAATTCAGCGTCACCCGTGCTTTCATCTTGCTTGTAAATATTTTGATATCCTGCGACTGCAGTTTGTGCTATTCTTTTACTGCTACTTACAAAATAGTTATTGAATTTGTTAGCTATATTTTCTTTACTAATTTCATCAAATATAATATCTTTAATCATTATATCACAATTTTTACTGTTAAGGTCTTAATTACCTTCCACAATTCTTTACTATTATTTTTGTGTTATTCGTAATTATTTTTGTGTATATAGTAATGTTATAATATCCTACTTTATTTTTCTTAATTATATTAACTACACTATTTATTATCTTGTTGTACTCGTATCATTTGTCTGGTTCTCTCGTTATTGTAGCTATTATTGTATTGTTTTGTATACTTTATCTCTCTTTTTGCACAGTAATTTTCTTTCCTCGCAATAACATTTTCGTTCATTCCTTTCTGTGAGCACCCTCAACGTTTTAAACAATGCCATCTCGTGTAGGGTTTTTGCGACGGCTTTTACAAATTCCTCGCTTAAGACTTCATTATTTTCATGTTTTGCCTCATTGTCTCAGTCAAAATGGTGATAGAATGCTATAAGGCAGAATGTACTTTAATATATACGTATTATGTATATTAGATATAGGGCGTTTTACTTCGATGACTTCTGAATGAAAGTGAATAAATGGAATAATAGCAAATTATTTTTATTTATTTCTTTACATTCGATAAACATTATTATTAACATATTATTTATATGTGACTAAACAAAAAATATACCGGTATTTCAATTTATATACTCTAATTAAAAATGGAAACTGGTGATAAAACATACCATCAGTTTTATCATATTTAAAACATCGATATTTTAAATGTCGATGTTTTGGTCTGATTTCATCGACATCGAAAACCTTTTGGTGATGTATCGAAACATCGATGTATCGGCAGGGGGGAACTGGACGTTTGGACTGCAAGGCCTCGCCCTGTTCTGAAGCCGATTTTCCTCGGTGTGAAAGCTCTGAGTACCAGAAAGTCGATGGAGGTGATCCACTACTTCAGTTTATCCAAAGAAACAATTTCTAGGAACTGTTCTTTGACTTGAAGATGTTTCTCAGAATCATTGTCACTTCTACTACAATATCGGAAAAACAATTGTAATTTACATTTCAAGGAAAGATAGTGAGTGTTTCCATGGCTAGACGTGTGAGTTCCCGGACGAGGTCGATTGGCCGAGTATAGGAATCCAGCAGTGCCATGAAAAGTCACTTTTGCAATGTAATGTATAGTATTTTATTCAAGATCTCAACTTTATGACAACTTTTTCGTGTGATATATAAATTAATTTGATGAATACGAGAACATACTACGTGTTATTCATTCGAGTGTCAAGAAGCAAAAGAAGGGCTCATCTCAGCAAGACTAAGATCTTGATCGAGATGTGGCTCATTGTACATACTAAATATTAACTAATACATTAAATATTATTGTTAAAATCAATATTTTGTTTATTTCTATGCTCGGTGTAATCTTAACATGAATTGGAACAGTTGTCTAACAGAAAATATTTTACTTGGCACTTAAACTTTGGTATCGATTTTAATTGTTTAATGCCATGTGGCAGTTAGTATTTTATGTACTCGTACTAAAACTGAGTACTAACGTATACGTACTGCACGTGATTCTTTGTAGTGAGCTATTGATACTGATGTACACCTGATGAATATGATTACTTCGTCGAGGATTATACACGTATCTGCATTGGCTGAATATGTTCCTAGCCTTAAGTCACTTTTGGCAAAAACATTGATTCATAAAAAAAGTGGCAAGGGAATAGTATAATTCCTAGCTTAATAAAGAAAGGCTTATAAGAATCACTTGTGTCGGATTTGCTTATTATTCGTACAATTGTTTTCTGCAATTTAAATGTTTGGGAGCTATAAGACATGTCACATGAATATTATGCCATTTTTCAAGCGGAATTGAATATTCGAAAAATATACACAATAAACAGAATGATTGTTGACTGAATTTGAAAAAATAAAGCATAGCATAACTTAATTTTGTTTTCAACTCATTTATAGGGCCAAAAACTGTGTTACCTTAACGTCAGTCAATGGCACATCGTTTATATTCAATGGAATGTACAATTGTTCATTTGAAATTGGAAACTATATTAAAACATTTTCACCTTCGTTTACAATTTTTTCGTAATTGCGGAACCAATTAGAAAATCTAATATTGTACTGTTTACTGTTGCTTTATTGCAAAGAATATTTGTATCATCAATAGAGATCTGTTCAGCTTCGAATCGAGAGCATATCGTTTACTTATGGTAGAAAGAGAATAGGGCCTAAAATGCAATCTTTTGGGACCCCATGTGCAATTGGCAATGAATCGGAAAGGTGAGTAAATAATTATATCCAATATGGCATTTCTACTCTCCGAGATCGTTGTTTAGGGTAGGAACATAATCAGTATAGAGCAATTCGACGAATTCTACACGAAAGTAATTTTCAAAGTATAATATTAAGAACAATAACATCTAGTACTTTTTAAAGACCAAACATATTTCGATAGGTGCTTTATTTTGATACATTGATGTAATTAGAATTAATATATCTCATTTGAGAATATTCTCAATAAGAGTATTGCCTTTGTTCGTGGTCAGCCATTATATTCCCAATTAATCACAGTGTTTTGAAACATAAACCCGACCGCGCGTTCGGAAGAGTTCTTGGAGACTCTTAAGACTCCATTAAGTCGAAGGTAATTATCAACAAGAAACCTTGATTAGGAGAATCAGCAGTATTCCAAGGTGGCCGGTACCGAGGTCAAAGGAATTGCCGGATAGCGCTGGAAGCAATGGCAGGCGAATCGCCATCCCTCCCCACCCGCGGCTCTGATGGCGCCCAGCAAAAAGTCCTTAACCTCTTTGCGCACTACTATGTGATATGCAACGTGCCATTCAGCGCTCTACCAACACATATCACAATATAAAGAAAGAGAAAGAATTTATTGCATCTTAATCAATGCAACGCGTCTCCAAGCCCTCGTTTTGGCATTGAGCGTTTTGGAGTAATCCTCCATTAAGGTTCTCGTCACGGCCAAAAGTCTTATCACAGTCTTAAAAAGAACCGCCAGGTAGCATCTCCGCGTACGCGATTCTTACATTACACGTCTTCCTGCGCCATTATCCAGCAACGAGAATGGCGAAGGAATAAGGACAGGGGTAGGGTTGAACTAGCCCTTGTGAAATAGGCAAATTCTTTTTGTTGGAACAAATTTCACATTAATTGTCTGGAAATCGAATCCAGCCCTCCTTAGTGAAAGGCAAGCGACATGGCTCTGCGTTACGATACTGTATATGAGGCTATACAGGGGTCTCATTACAAAACCTGGAAAATATCTGCATTTTCTGTCATAGGTCAGCTTCTCCCACTGCGAATGCTGGAGGAGAGCCGAGGGAGAGTTTGGGAGAAAAAGAAAACAATAAATCGTCACAACTTAAAACGAAGTTGTAATTGAGATCTGGTCTACAGCTTTAAAAAGCATCTAATATATTTGTTCGCAATACTCAATACACAACCAGTATGTTCAACGTAAAGAATACTACACATAGAATCGCCCCGAAAGGTTTTTGTTAAAGCCAGTTAATTGGGATCGCGGCCATATTGCTCAAACCCAGCTCGAACCATCATTGGAAAATCCAACCATCTCCAATCATCATTTCCAAGGTGGAATGTGGGAAGTGGCATCGACATACATGCCAGGTTGTGGAACTTCCTCCCTCTAGGCATCGTTCGTCTCAGCCAGGACAAGATCTAAGCGGATATGAGGGGATAAGGAAAAGGAAGGAAAGATCGCGGATGATCCGTAGCCCGTTCCTCAAAGTATTGCATGAGCAATTGATCAAGTGCAGGTTGAGGTACGTGCGGGCGACTCTATGTATAGTACTCTCGAGTTAATGCACAAGGTTCTTATGGCCTAGTTAAACCTAGTCTTACAATACTTATTACACAATTTACAATAACTTAATTTTTGCTTTCAAGTTTTTTTTGAAGACACTGTTTTGATATATACAATACAATAATTTTCAAGACTTCCTATCCCATGGTTAAGTTTGAAACTCCTTTAAAATAATATTGCAAGACTTTTTTCTTTAAATATCATTTGACCTTTGCTTGTTTGTTTATTTTAAAAAAGTAAGAGCGGCTATATGCGAGAATTATCGCTCGTACATATAATGAAACATTTTTATATCCAAACTAAGTGAAAACGCACTCAAGGTTTTTTAAAAGGTCGCTTGTCTCCCTTGGCTTCAGTACCTCAATAATTGAAGGGTTATTCTAGTTTTAATTATTAACACTTGAGCGTCGTTAACACACTGATAACGGTCACTTTTCAGACGTTTGTTATAAATTCTCTGAACTTTTGTCTTCAAATACTTGCACCAGTGTTCTTGAGATACACTAAAATCTTGATAGCATTTTTTTCGATTCATTGTGGAAGTAAGTCACTGTTATCAATAAAAACTTCCGCTGGGACAAAATTTGCATGATACGGTTGTGGAGCCATTGTCATTCCAGGCACAGGAGTAATATCTGGATTTTCATCATTAACCGGAAGTATATGGTAGTGCTGGAGAATTCCCGTGAAGAAGAGAAAAATGCAACTTCGGGCTAGCGTCTCCCCCAGGCATCTTCTTCGACCTGAAAAATATTTTAGATCAGTTTATTTATGACATTAAATATGAATTTCCATAACTAATTTTTACAAATGTTCAAATATTCGACTGAGAGTATTTCTAAGCAGTAATTGCGTTCGAGGTTTTCAGTGTAATAGCAACTCGGGATATTCTTCTACCCCGAGATTTTCCTATTGTTCTCAAACTTCACATTTCTTCCGAAGTTACAGGAACCAACTGGCAAATTGAGAATTGTGGATATCAAAAATGGGCTTATGGGATCTCGATTAATGAATGGTATTGTAGAACTATTTACATGGGACAATGTATGAAATCAAGCACGAATGAAGTTTAATACAAGTATTTGAACATTTGTTTCGGATCCAAAACAATTTATACACACAAATACAGTCGATTCCGATTACAGTGAACTTCTGGGGACTTACACGTAATTCTTTTTGTTAAATTCTATTGCGACTTTTTTGCAATAACGACTCTTTTGGTCATTCACAGTACATACTAGTACATCATTTAGTAATATTTTAATAGTTATTCAGCTATTCTTGGCGGAGATGAATCCAACAAACCAGAGATGACTAAAATTGGCCCGACCGTTCTTGGGTTATAAACGCTGTAACTACCCCGACTTTGTGATATATTATATAATGTGTGTGTGTGTCCCATTGGCCAGGGGTTCGGCATCGTTAGTAACCGGAATTCCTATATGGTCACCCATTCATAAACCCTGTTGTATCGAGTTTCTTAACGTCCGTGACTTTAGCAGGGTAGTTAAACAATTCGGCTAACGAAAATTTGTTATTCTTTACTCCTAACGATGTTCAAAATATGTTTGACCGCAGCACTCAATATTTGTGACTCCTTGATATCTGAAATATCTCTCCGTCTTCTTATGAACAACACTAACGCCTAAACCTTACAGAGGATTATCACAAAAATTGATATTCCCTAATCGGTCTGGCTGATGTTGCAGCCCCTTGATTTTAAACGGATATTTTAATTTTTGGAGGTACTTTACACAAAACCGTATATGAAAATTTCTCAAAAAATGCTAAATTGTTTTCTTTACATTTTTGGCGCGAAGCAAATAAAGTTAGCCGATAAAAATAGGCAGAGAAGATCTACACGGCGAGTTGTATGTGTTCCTTTCAAATATAAATAAATAAATGCCGTTATTGGTGGCGAGGCTCAGAACATTTGGCCTAATCTTTCTCGTGACCACTTTCAAAAGTTTAATACATAATCAATCACCGCCAGCGGGGCACTGCCGGGAGGTCTGATCTCCTGATATGTTTGGTAGAGTGGGGGATGTAAAAGAAAGTGTGTGTGTGTGTGTAAGGTGGGAGGATGGGACAAAGATGAAGGAAAGATCCGTTTAGACAGTGGTTTACTTGTTAAGGTACTGCTCCGTCATTCGTCTGGTACTGAGCGGAGGAACCACAGCAAACTACCCATTAGAACAGCCGACCGCTAAAATTCCGCATAAAGCAGCTGAATTCAACCCAGCTATCTAGCTAGTATCGAAGTCCACCACCATCGTGACTCGAAAGCTAGGTCCTCCCAGTCAGAGGCACTGTAGTGGTTGAGGTTTTTTGCCTTGGACCATTTCAGCCGGTAACCGTTACAAATAATAGGGTAAGGCATGGGCTTTTGTAACACAGCTAGTCGCACAGTTCAGCGCTAACAGCGGTGGCGAGAGGTTGTGACCGCAGCGCTACCTTGTTAGTTCAGTCG